GGAGATAAATTAGGAAGAATATGATTGAAGACCTATTTTGTAGCAGAAGTTTCTGTTGATTTGTAACAGCTGATATGCTGTGATTTGAAACTCAAATCAAGTTTGGAGTTAGGTTATAAATAGAAGCATTGTAACCTAGAAAAAGACACCAGCCGAAAATGTAACTTTCATATTATTAGGGATGAGTCTGTGCCACTCTCTAGGAGAGTTGGTTTGTGTGATCCACTCGGGTTGTGAGTTGGACCGTGTTACAAAGTTGTAATCTCTGTTATTATTCTCCTCAAAGCTTTTAAGCAAGAGGTGGTATTGTTATTAGAGGAAGCTGTTAAGCAACTCTAAGTATTGTTCTTGATCAAAGCTGTGAAGCAAGATCAAGTATGTTGTTCTTAATCAAGGGGTGTCTTGATTAAGGTGTTTGTTTTGTAATTGAAGAGTGATTTTTATTTAGATGAAAGGTCGTCAATACAGTAATTGGGATTGGGACTATTAGACATTATTGCGGTGATTGGAGGTGAGATGAGATTTCTCATATCTAGGGAGGACCTAGGTAGAAGTTGCACATGGTAGTGATTAAGTGATAAGTTGTAAATGTGGGATTAGTTTAGCTTTGAATTGATATTGTCTAATGGATTTTCTTCCTGGCTTGGTAGCCCCCAGAGTAAGTGTTGGTTTGTATCGAGCCGAGTTAACAATTATGTGTGTTGTTTTTATGTTTCAGTATTGTTTTCAATGTTTATACCTTTCCTGTGTTGTTATGTTCAGATCAAATGTCTCAATATCCTATAGGACATTTGAGTTATGTTATAGAAGAATTTCATCTATCTATGATGCTTCTTGGACTGACTGGTCCATGAGTCATCCTTTTCTAGGGTTCAATCAAAGTTATTTCAGTCCATTACTAGATTTTCAAGTTCAATATTGACAGGTCCTATTTCTACGAGGGTTTCAGTTTGTGGGAGTTTCATTAAAAATAATAGGAGGATTTACGTTAATGTTTTTTCTAATAATCTTGGTTGATTAATATTCATTTTGACTGAGCTATAAGGCACAATCGATGAATTGAGAATGACGAGTAATTTGAATTTCACTTTTTTATTTGTCGAAATGATTTTCATTGTTGTGGTTAATATGATAATTTTTCAAAAAATTATTAATCTTCATCAGATTCTCCTTCTTCTTGTAGTGTTATCTCGTATAGATCAAATATATTATAAATGCAAGATCAAACTTATTTATTGAAAAAATAATCGTTACGCAGATCGCTTTGCAAATATCAACCAGAATGACGAGTTTGATTTCATAAAACTTTCAACTCCTCGTCTTTTTTATTTATTTTTAATTTTGTTGTTGTTTAATGATTCTACATGATAATCTCTTTCCCTCTTTGTTCTTTTTTTTTTTTTTTTTTTTTATATTTTCATTTTGATTGCAAATATCGACAATATTGATTTTACAAAACTTTCAAATGCTCACCTATATTTTAATTTTTGTTGTTGTATAATAATCTCATAGGATGATCTCTTTCCCTTTTTTTATATTTTTGTGTTTTTAAATTTTATTTTAAAAACATTGATACTTACTTTTGAAATTCTTTTTAGATTATGGTATAAATTTTATATTATTAATAATTTAAATAGTAAGTTAACATGATTTAAAGAAAATATTATTAAATATTAATATAAAATTATCTATCTATTATTTTAAAGAAAAGATTTAGATCTAATTTTTTAAATGTAATTTTTACTATTTTTTAATAAAAATATAACAAATATACTTAAATATTCTTTAAAAAAGAAAAACGAAAAGAATTATAAAATTATTTATTTATTATATATTTATTAGAAAATAATAAAAATCACATCAACAATCCACTCTTTATTTTAATACTTTAATAAAAAGATATTAATTATCATACACTTTCAATGTAAAATGTATTACATCATCAACAATATATATCACAATAATCTATAAATATTATTTTATTAATAATTAAAATAAAAATTAAATCTAATTTAAAATCTAATGATTATCATTCATTCATTAATGGTGTAAAATTTTATTTTTCAATTAAATTTTAATTAAAAAAAATTAATTTTTTATCCGACATTAGGAAAAAAAATATTTTACAGGAAAGAAATAAAAATGAAAAAAATATTACTATCACTTACAAAATTACACCATTGTAAAAAATAAAATCTGAAATCATTCTCCTATTCTTCATTCGTGTCTCTATTATTCAACTGCCCAGTCCACTACAAGTACGCAAATCCCTCGAATTCCGAGCATATATGAGCATCGAGCATTGGTCGCAAGATCGCGAAGTTCCTTTGGATGCCTTCCTGATCGCCGCCATGCTCGACGACAGTGTAAGCCTGCCTCCTACTATAACTATATATCGAGGCTATCCCTTGAGGCTCTGCTGCGACCCAAGTCAAGGCGGGATCGTCAACAGTGTCAACCAAGTTGACACCCTCCTCGGCTACACTGGTCTCTTCGACGTCCACGTGCTCGGACGATTCAGGAGTATCGACCATTTTACCTGTAAAGCATAAGAAACCTATAAATTTGGAAGCAAATCCAAATCCATCCTTCCGCAATGCTGGTAAAAAGGTTAGGCGACGCCCAAACCAAGTCGACAGTCTCTCGTGCAGAAGGGGTATTACCCGACCCTCGATTGGGGCACGAAAATCATGTCAGTCTTATAAAGCCACACAATGGTTATAACGACGAACGCTCATTTTCATGAATACCCCGAGCACAGGAAGAAGCAGCGAGCAAAGTACGAATTTGTCGGCCATACTCATGAATTCACTGGGGATATCACAAACTTCTTGCGCAAAATCCATGAATTTTACAGGGATATATGAAGACTACGGGGTAAACTCATCTAAGTGTTGGGGAAACGATGAATATCACGGGCTCAATCACGAAAATTACGCATAAATACATGAATTCCCCGAGCAGAACCCCCCAGTCATAAAATTGTATAACTAAAACATCATCAAAACAAAGAGTATCACGAAAAAGTACTTACTTGGACAAAGCAGATGAAGAACAACGAAGGTTGAAGAAGAACGTGCGGCGGATTCTGCGGCGGAGAAAGGAAACGGCACAACGTTGGCGATAGGAAGAGTGGAGAGTGCGAAAATGTAAACATAAATAATGGGCCTTGAGGCACTATATATAGAGCTGACGTGGAATGTGAAACGTCGCATCGGGCAGCTCAACAACCGCCTTTCTCCCGACACCTACACACTCGGCTAATGATGACCCCTACTCCCTAGGCCATCATTGCAATCCCAAAGATCACGCCACGTGCCTACACCCCACAAGATTTCCCCTCCCCACGACTAGAATGGTCCCATCTCTAGTCCATTCCGAATGCTGCTTGGGTAAACCCATGAATCGATGACTTTATCCGTCAACACAATGAAATATCCTCGTCGAGCAACGCACCTCGTAAAAGAAAAAGCTAGACTTAAGCCATAACTCCTTGATCAGGAGCAACAACTTGGGGGGCCCCTGTTCTGGACTGGGCCTGCCCTTGGCCTAACTCCACGAGAGGCACAATCTAATTATGCCAGTCAAAGTATACTGACCAGTTCTGCCCTCGAGATCGTCGGGCAGTAACTCCCACTCCCCGCGAGGAGGCAACCTCACCGCACAAGGATAAACCCAGTCAGTCTTAGGAAGATCATCGCCTGTTATGAGGACCTCGAGGTCAGCCTCCGATCCTCTCCTCGACCAAGACTGATCTCCTCACACGATCTCGCGTCTGACGGAGAGCATCCACGACGAGCAGAAGCGCCTCACGAGCATCCTCCTCGTAGGGTTGACTGTCAACGTCTTTGAATATCGTGGAGTCTTTGTGGCCCTGGAAAGACCGCATATATATCCTCCTGATCTTGCGGGGGAAGTCATCTAGGTGGGAGACCACGTGCGGGTCCCCACTATTCACGTAGAACCTGACAGTCTCCACTTTGGACCTGTTTGACCAGCCCAATGAGGAGACCTTGATCCAACGCTGAGGGCTATAAATACCCTCTCTTTCGAGAGAGCCATGTATTGATCATTTCTTACTCTCTTTCCTGCTAGCTTATTCCGCATCTCATTTTGGCATCAGAGTGTCTTGCAGGCATTCCCCCTCCCTTCACTCTCAAATTCTGTTTGAAGTAAGCTGTGACGGTCCATTCTAGTTAGGTACGATCACTTCCTTGTGAAATTCTTTTTAGATGATGGTATAAATTTATATTATTAATAATTTAAATAGTAAGTTAACATGATTTAAAGAAAATATTATTAAATATTAATATAAAATTATCTACCTATTATTTTAAAGAGAAAATTTAGATCTAATTTTTTAAATATAATTTTTATTATTCTTTAATAAAAATATAACAAATATACTTAAATATTGTTTAAGAAAAGAAAATGAAAAGAAATTAAAAAATTGCATCAACAATCCACTTCTTATTTAAATATTTTAATAAAAAGATATTAATTGTCGTACACTCTCAATGTAAAATGTTTGACATCATCAATATATCACAATAATTTATAAATATTATTTTATTAATAATTAAAATAAAAATTAAATTTAAAATCTAACTATTATCATTCATTAATTCATTCATTAATGATGTAAAATTTTATTTTCCAATTAAACTTTAATTAAAAAAAAGTTTTTTGTATCAAACATTAGGAAAAAAAACATTTTATAGGAAAGAAATAAAAATGAAAAAAATATTACTACCACTTACAAAATTACAACGGTGTAAAAAATAAAATCTGAAATGATTCTCCTATTCTCCATCCGTGTCTCTATTATTCAACTGCCCAGTCCACTACAAGTACGCAAATCCCTCGCTAGCAGTTTCGTGATATCTCCCTCCGATTTCCTCTGAATCTAATCACTCCCGATAGATACATAGGTACGCTTCTCACCTTTTTCAAATCCACCTCCCATTCTTCATCGTTTCTTACTCACCTTTTTCACTTCTATGTTCAGATCCATTTTTTCCCTCAATAGATTTGGATCTCTCGATCATCGATCATCGATCTTCGATTCTCAATTTTATAGATACTGCGTGTATTTATCGTGTATCAAGATGATTTATGTTTTCCGTAGTGTAGTTTTTTTTTTTTTTTTTGCTTCTCTAGGTTTCTCGATTGTATTTGATTTTAATTTAATTAATTTCTATGGAAAAATTAATAAATCTGTTTTTTATAGGTTCGATTCTCACATCAAGGAAATGGATAGTAACTGAATGATAATTGTTGTTGATTAATAGTGTTGCTCTGAAAATTTGTGAATCTGATGGATTAATCTGGTTTTCTAGTAATTTCAGTTTTGAGTCTTACGGGTTACTTTTATTTAGATCAGCTTTGTTGTAATTTTTTTATTGATGTGTTGTATACTCGGTAGCACTGATAGGAGAAAAGGTGTTTATGCCGGTGTCGTGTTTCTGGTGTCAGGGTTTCATAGCATATAAGTGCTTATGGGCAAACTATTTCTATATAAAAAGATAAAGTAAAGTCATCAATCTACTTTCATATAAGCTATAAGCTATTTTAATCAACTATCCTGAAGAGCTTATGAAAAAAAAAATGAAAACAACTTATGGACATATCATAAACTGTTTTGATAAACTCTACAAACCATCTCACAAGTGCATGATTATACACTTACACACTTTGTAGCTACTATTCATTGTTTTGTTTGACCAATTAAGCTTTTGTAAACAGAGAATGGCATCCAATAGGGGTCAAGGAGGAATTCAGCAATTGTTGGCTGCTGAACAAGAAGCACAACGGATTGTAAATGCTGCGAAAAACGGTATTGTTCTTTTCATTATGTCTTGTCATGTTCTTGATCTTGCCATGCTTCCGTCCAATTTTTGGTCTAGGTTATCCTTCTTTGTTATGTCTAACTAAAGACCAGGTTTGAACTTCTAGATGATTTTCAACTAAAACAAGTATTTAGTTTATAACTCGTACAAAAAGCTCTTAAAAGTTGTAAGGCTGTTGGAATTTACTGAGAAGCTAAACGAGAGCTTTCGAAAGAATTGAACTGCAGAATTTGATTTTAACTCATGAGAGAACTTATTTAGTTATAATACTCATAATTGTAAGATCATCACAACCTTTTCTTTTCTATAATTGCTTGTAGAAATTTCTTCTGAACTTTTGGGTATGTTTGGAGTTTGGATTGATAGAATGTAATGGGATGAAGTGGAGTAGAATAGAATAGGATATCATTCCAGTGTTTGGATTTTAAAGTAATGGATAGAGTGGAGTAGAACCTGGTGGATCTATTCCCAACCATTCCATTATCTCCCTTCATTTTTGTTTCCCCAATTTAGGAGCTATAGAATGGAATCATTAATCCTAATCATTGGGGTAAGGATATTCTTCACTTCTCAAAAGAAATAGGTTTAAGAGTGAATAAATGTTACATGTAAATAGGTATACTTAACTTGAGTCTCTTGTTGATTCCTGGATCCAGTAGGATCGGATGTACTGATTGTTTTTTTTTGGGAATAAAATCAATGCTTTTTATCCAAAAAAATAGTTACAAATGCACATTTCATAAATTGACGGCATTAATTCGACATTTATACACCAAAACTATAGTAATGAAGATATCCATTTGTTTTAAGAATTTGAGAGGATTTCTACACTAATTATTCCCAGTGCAACCAATGTTGTGTTCTTCCTCTCTGGCGCTACATCAATGGCTGTCGTATTTGAAAGCTATCTCATTTTTTTCTTCTCTAGCTCTGCATCAATGACTGGTATATTTGCCTCTTCTCAAATTGTTGGTTAAGTTTTTCCTGCTACAGTATCAACTACTTGTTTTATTTACTGTGGTCCCTACAGTAGTTGTATAATTCAATTCCACTTCACTCTGGTCCGTTCATTCAGTTCCTTTAACTTTTCATATCATGGAATGAGCATTTTGTTCATGTTCCATCATAAAATATTTTAACTATGGTATGCATGCTTTGTTGCATTATGCTCCATTCAATTCCACTCTCCTTTGTTCCGCTCTGCTTATTTGAAAATATTTAGAGATACAATCATTTACGTCAAGAGTTATGTTCTTGTTATTCTTTTTATTTTGTTTGTTTCATTTTACATCAGAAATTTTTATTATGTTCATGGTTTTTTCCCCTGTCCCTATGTGATTATCCATGATTGTTCCATGCACATTTTGTGAAACATTTGTTTATACAACTAATCAATGCAATCATTTGGACCTCCACTGCTAGAAAAATCGGCTAGGTTGAAACAGGCCAAAGAAGAGGCTGAAAAGGAGATTGCTGAATATCGTGCCAAGCTTGAGTCTGAGTTTCAAAAGAAAGTTTCAGATGTAAGTCTGTCTACTCTTTGATAAACACACTAGACTACTGCTTTATCTTATTAAAAAATGTGACTTTTATCCTCCAATTTTCGTGTTCTTGTTTTCCTATGAATACAGAGTAGTGGTGACTCTGGAGCTAATGTTAAGCGACTTGATCAAGAAACCGAAGAAAAAATCCATCACCTGAAAGAAGAGGCTGCAAGAATTTCGGAGGATGTTGTTGCCATGCTCCTCAAGTATGTAACAACTGTGAAAAAATAGGAACCTTGGATGATATGTTGGTGCAGCTGAGTGGACCCCTAAATTATGTTAACTATCATATCGCAAGTTTATTTTTGGATCTAGATATTAAGTCGTGGACAACATTATCATTATTTAAAATCTTTCTTGGATGTATTCAAATAAATAATTTCGTGTTTGTTCGGATAAACAATTCAAAATTCAAAGACATGTTTATTTGTACTGCTGATGTAACAAATGTATGAGGAGTGAATACCATTTCGTTGAATGTGTATGAAGTAGAAATGCGTTGTTTATTCCTTTCTAAACAACCGAACTTTCATATTATTTCTCATTTTAAGCACTGGAGGAGTTGTGTATCTGCCAGGGAGTTGTTTTGGATTGTAATATCTTTCAAAAAAGAAAATCACATATTGCAAACTCCAGTTACTTAGCAAGTAAGTTAGCACATTCATTGGTTATACAGAGAAATTTTTAGTATGTTTGGATTGATTTTGAGGTGTTTGGTTTATTAAAAATATAATTGATTCTGTCTCTAAAATTAATTTTATTTGAAGTTAGAATTTGTAGCTTCTTTTTCTAGAATTGATTTTGAGTGATTTTTATATTAAAATTTATTCTTCAATTTACTTTTATATAAATGTATCAAAACATAAATCAATTAATCAATTGTTAAAATCAATTATGTTCATCACCATTTGCAAACACACCTTTTAATAATAACCTCTCATGCTTCAACTAGTCGAGAATCTTAGTAAGATTATTGCTGTTGCCCTGAACTCTCTTTTTTGATGCACTAGACTATGGCAGCAGTGATTTCAAAGCTCTGAACCCAGCAATCTTAGCACCCTTCTCATTTCTGATAATACTTCCACCCCCAATTAGCAAGGAGCACCGGCCTTATTATGCTTTACAGCAAGCCATTTTTTAAGGGTGTTACTTTATATACTGTGTTAGTTCCGTAAAAAAGATATTTAAATTTTAGGAATGTATTTTTGAACGCAGCTATAATATACACCCCATTAATTTGTGAGCGAGTTATTTCAATATTGTCCCAATTTAATCTTTAGTATTTCGTGAGCGAGTCATTTCAATTTTGTCCCAGTTTAATCTGAAAATACATTTTCAAAATATTACGGAGCGAAGATGCACTTTCTTGATATTATCTTCAGTCCTAATCTAGTGGATCTCATGTCAACTGTAGAACATCTCACACAATTTCTATAACCAGATCAAGATAACCTCTCAGCATCAAGATTATAGTTTAATATATCAGGTGTGCTATTTTGATATCACCCTTATTCAATTTTAACATTGTATAATGTATTTATACACTAAACAATATATATATTTTTTAAAATAAAAAAATATATGTATGAACAATATCGTGAATAGTACCGTGAACAGTATATATACAGTAATTTTTATTGGTAGAATAAAATTAGTTAATAAAATATAAAAAATTGGTTAATAAACTTTCAGATATTAAAAATAATTTAATGATAAAATAAAGTTGGTTAATAAAAAGTAAAATGTTGATTAATAAAATGATAAAGTTAATTAATAAATATCAAGATATTAAAAATAATTTTTAGTAGTAAAACAAAGTTGATAAAACAATGTTGGTTAATGAAAAGTAAAATTTTGGTTAATGGAATGATGAAATTGGTTAATAAACGTCCAAATATTAAAAATAATTTAGTAGTAAAACAAAGTTAGTTAATAAAAAGGTAAAATATTGATTAATAAAGATATGAAGTTGGTTAATAAAATCAAGATATTAATATTTATTTTTAATATTAAAATTTGGTTAATGAAATGTAAAATATTGATTAATGAAACCATGAAGTTAATTAATTATACAATTTTATATCGGTATCTTTTAATATATATATATATATATATATATATATATATATATATATATATATATATATATATATATATATATATATATATATATATATATATATATATATATATATATATATATATATATATATATATATATATATATATATATATATATATATATATATATATATATATATATATATATATATATATATATATATATATATATATATATATATATATATATATATATATATATATATATATGATGAGTTCTTTGACAAGTTTGTCAAGTGTCAATATATTATACTACATGTTATTTTTGTTTTAGCTATAAAAAGAAAACTTTCCATAATTATATTTTAATTATTTTTAAATATTTTAATTTATTAATTATTAACAACTTAATAATTAATAATTAATAATTCTTAAGTAATTAATCGTTTTTAATACAATTCTAGGCTTTCAAATATATGTATTCAATTTTTAATATTTTGATACATTTATAGACTTTCAAATATCTGTATTCAATATTCAATATTTTTTTCCTCATAAATAACCAAACAAATAATGATTGTAAACCCTTCATATACTGGTTCATATGTCCATTCAACTTCCATAAGAAATCCATAACCTACGAATTCCAAGCGGCACACCCCTCTTCTTCTTCCTCGATAAATCAATTTTCCGATTCCATCCCTTCTGCTTCCAGCCTCTGTTCGTCAACAACTTAATTTCTTTCTCTTTTCCAATACCTGGTTCATGGCAATAATCAATTTTTACTGATGCATCCGGCCGTCGATTTAATCTATCTCGCGATCCATTTTCTTCAATTCCCATGTGAACACTGAAGAATGGAAAAACACAAGAAGTGGGATTTGAATTGAGATTTTCAAAAATAAAGCATTAAACACGTTGGTTATCCTGGTTCGTTTGAACTTAAACTACTCCAGTCCACCCGCTGTTGGCTGAAGATTTTAATGATATTATTAGAAGCAAAGTAAATTGGACGTTTCGATTGAAATAAAACAAAACGTCATGTTTCGAAATGGTAGAAGCAGTGCTTCGAATGGGCATATCAAAGCTTGGAGCTTCGAGTGACAGTTATGAGAATATATCCAAAGAAGTCTCGAAATGATAACAAGGCTGTATCTAAGAAATGCGTTCGAAGCGAAGAAGTGCCAAAACATTTGAAATTCAAATGCAAGCGGGATGTTCGAAATTTGAAATATATGCGCTGGAGCATTCGAAGACGCGTGGAAGCAAGAGAGAGGCATTGCTCTGCATGTTCTGAACGTGGCAGAATCTTATAGCAAGACCGTTATGGTCGAAGTAGTATAAATAGAAGTCTTAGCATTAGGATTTCGTGTGTCATATCTGTTGTACAAAAAACTCAGTAAACATTCAAATTACCACATGGCTAGGGAAACGAATGCAAGAGCAATGTACGTATGATAACACCACATATTTATGATTTAATGAAAACTCTCTATCATTTCCAATACTTTCCTTTATCTTTATGTCAATACCATTTACAAGTTTTTGCATTTAAAGTGTTTTCATTCGAAATCTTTTTACTGATGCCTTACATTTAAACGTTTTCTTTCCATTTCAAATACTTTACATTTCAGAAACTGTTATACATTTCATGCCTTTATCTTCAAGTTTTTATCATTCGAACACCTTTTTACTTAAAACCATTTTACAGTTTTCTTGCATTTAAGCGCTTTCTTCATATTTCGAATCTTTTACATTAACCGTTTTTATGATTCAAAGTCATTTATTTGTCTTTTATGCAGTTTTTACATGTCTTTACAATTGACCTTTATTCATGCAATTTAGTTTCACGCACATTTACTTGATCAAACTTTTAGATCTTTAATAGAGAAATCGAAATAAGTTAAACACCTACACAACATTCTAAATACCAACCATGAATACCAGTTCGATCATGAGAGTTACCCTAATGACCAACACGTCCTAGGATCAATCTAGTCGATCCTGCGAGTTACCAGAGAAATTGAATAACAGTCAGTAAGTTTATTCGATAGTTTGGAGGACTAGCGGTTGTTTACCAGAAATCACTGTAAACAAATTGGCACACCTGGTGGGACCAATCGTTGGACATTACGGAATTTAGAACAGAAATAAAGATTGTTGAGACGTAACCATTATAAAAATACCCTCTGAGTGATAAGCTTGTTATTTTATGAACCTGAGAAGTGGTAAAATAACAAACAGCAACCAACCCTTATCCAGAAGAAAACGTTTGAACAAGATGTCTAATTCTGACAATCAACAAGGGGAACAAAATGCCCCACATACAACAGGCACTAATGTGTCCGCTTCGATGGGAACGTCTAATGTGATCCCTTCAAATGCACAGTCTGTTGCATCTTCTACCAATAATATAGCCACTAATGGAGTAAGTGGCATATCAACTAATAGTTCGATCCTAGGAAACACTGGAACCATTGGTTATCCTGGGGGATTCGTCCCATCATCAGGGACACAAACCCATTTCGCCACCCCACTAACTAGACCACCCGGTTTCGATGGTAATAGAACTAGAAACTCCTCTTATGGAATGCCAACATCTTTTATGGCAGGCTTATACGGTTCCACATCGAATTCATCACCACAATTAGGGTCTGGGTCTGGGGCAAATCAGTTTATGACAAATAACCAAGGGTCAGTGGGTTATAGCGCAATGCCTATTTTAACCACAGAAAACCAGTTGGCTTTTAGGCAATTGATGGATGACAGTAACCATAATATGATAGGGGTGTTAGCACAAACTATGCAGGAAATATTTGCCCCAATAGTATAAAATGTGACTGTGACAAACAGAGAAAACGCAGATAACATGAGTCGAATAGCAGATTTCTTTGCTCCCCTAGGGAGGCGTAGGCAGAATCAGGCGGGAGTTCGAGCAAACATACCTATTATGGAACAAGTTGCTAACGACCCAACCTATAGACCACCTAGAGAAGAAGTTAACTTGGGGGAAAGGGCACAAAGGCTAGAAGCCCCAATGATCCCAGGCCCACAAAGAGAAATTATGGAACCAGGGGCAAGGATCGAAAGGCAGGAAGTCCCAGAGTTTCGAGAAGAACAACCTAGGGGGGTTGTCATGGTGGGTCGAAATCAAGATGCTGATGCAGTCGTTCATAGAATTCGAAACGATAACATCTTGGTAGAAAACAATTTAACCACCATGATAGAGAGAGTCATGGCCCAGAATGGCCTCAACACAGGAATTAGAAGGCCAAATTATGCTTCTCCTATATTAGATTACATAATGCATACTGATTTACCAAGGGGATATAAAGTCCCTAAGTTTACAAAGTTCGCTGGGGATACCAATGAGTCAACAGTCGAACATATAGCC